GCTGTAGCCACCTCATGCTATAACGTTTTATTTATTGGCTTGTTTAACCTATTCCCTTGAGCTCTTGTAACTCTACCAGAATCTTAGTCATGAAAGAAAAAAAGGCAATAGGATTTAAAAAAACCACAATTCTAGCTTTTGTATCAAGTGTCTTACAAACTGTACCACTGAATGCTCTCTAACAGTGGGCAATATGTTTTGTAAAATGAAACAACACAACAACCAAGGGAAAGGAAGGGTTTTCAGATGACATTTGAAAATGCTGGGGGTGGTGGTTCAGTGAGGAAACAACAGAAGAAGAAACAGGAGATCAGTGGCAGAGTAGTTTAAAAGTTTGTTTATATAAGAAAATGTAATAGCTCTCCGGAGACACCTTACTGTGGGATAAAAGTTATTTTATTCCAGAATTACAAATTCACTTTAGAAGTGCATTAGTTATTCTGGTACAAAAATGATTCAACTTCTGCCGGAACGCCTCTCCCGGAGAGCTTGTCCTAACAAAGGACCTCTACTGCCGATGGTCCATCTCTGCAGACGTATGCCCCAGCAGAAACCGTAGGGAATAAAACCACAAATGGAGGTTTCATGAGGTCACCTGCAACAATATTTTTACTCTTAAACAAAAGGGCAGCTTTTCCCATTCTTGTTTAAATGTACGACAATCCATTATATTAATATTCAGGAGGGAGGAAGCGGGGAGAAAGGCAAAGCCATTCGTATTGGACCTGTGGAGCTGCACTGTTCTTCCAATGACTGAACCTAGGCAAGCAGGACTTGCAGTCTGCGAAATGGATGCCGAAGTATGGGGGATTCCCACAAAATCTTTTTAAGTATCTTTAGCTTCATTAAATAGCTTCTATTATACTCAAACTGGGACCACTTTTTACTATTATTTTACTGAAATTAGGCATAGTCTGCAGAAATTACAAGAAAAATCAAGGCTAAAATTAACATAATGATTAAGCACTTCACCCAGCCTATGGGTCAGACATTATATATTCTTTTGCAGATTTTTGGATTCTTGACAGTCTCCTCCTACTTCAAAAGGAAAAGGTCAAAATGGCAGAGGGGGGAAAAAATCCAGTATTTTAGGACAGACGCACTGAGCTTGTGATGCAAGTGCAGCACCATTATACACATGCCCCATGACCCAGAAAACACGTCCAGGTTTAGTCTGAGCAGACCCTGAATACCACAGCTGGTTTGGGAACAGAGTGCCCAGAATTACAAAAGCTTCCCTGTGCATTCCACTTCCAAATTTGGCAAAGGCAATCTTGGTCCCGCATTTCACAGGTACCAAAATTAACACGCTGTTCTCTGAAAGCTAGCCTAGTTTTGAGAACCACCAAAGAACGTCTTATTTCAGACGGTTCACCTGCACTTTGGCAGAGCCAACAGTAAACTGGGAAAGTTAAGAATTCAGGGCCAGGACAACATCCTGGTCCCAGTTCTCAGAATTTTAGGTTGCCAAAGTAATCCTTATCCTGCAAAACCCATTACGAACAGCTCACATCAGCCTGTTCCACGAGCAGCTTCCTTGAGGGTTATAACACCCTCAAAGACCTTTAGCCAGTCCCTTGCCGTGCTGTCACAGCAGGCTCAGCTGTCCCCAGGCACACAGCATATTCCCCAGCTCACAGGTGGAGGTCTGCAGTACCAGGGCAGGCAGGCAGCGTGTCCTGCCCTTCAAAGGAGACAGTTTGCTCTTCTAAAGCTTCCTCTGAGTCTGAGCCCAAGCCAGCTGGACAACAGTTGAAAGACTCGCTCCTTCAGCAGCGCCCGGTATCTGGAGACTCCAGCCCAAAACAAATAGAAACATTTAAAATTAAAATAGAAAAAGAAAAGGCAATAAAAGGAATAAATTGTTCCTCACTGGCCTAAAGAAGAGAACTCTATTCCTCCTTATCACCCCTTATCTTCCTTGAACTGGCTTCCCAGGCAACTACTGCAAAGGATTTTTCTGGATCGGGTCAGCCCACGGGTCCGTGCCCAGCCCAGCAGTGCCGGCTCGTGGGAGTCCATGCCTGCCGGCTGCAGAGGAACACTAAGAAAGACCGTACAATAACTACAAAACAATGTGGCCACAGGAGGAATTTCTTCCTCATTTCAGATGCCTCTTTGCTGAGCTATCTCGTAACTCTGATCAGGAATGCCTGACAATGTCGTCCTTTCCCCTTTTATAACAAGTCACTGTAGTCTTCAACAGATGCTTTGGAGAACAATCAGAACTCATCAGAACTTCTCAATCTGCCCAAATTTGAGAGTAAGACAAAGTTAACGGACCATCTAACCCCACCTACAAACCAGTGTGAAGAGGGAGTTTTAAAGCCAGCCTTAGTTTTAAGGCCAATGCTGCCACGCACCCACCCACGATTAGCAGCAGAATTCATGAGATTTCAGGTACTCTCAGCTCATCCCTCGTGCCACCACAATTCCCTGAAGGACGGTGAGAAATTAGTTAATCCCCACTTTGCTCTTTCCCCATGTTTACTTGCACTGTAAGTACCCAGCCACCCAGCATCCCCTTCTCCAGGAATTGAATGTCACACTGAATGCACAATAATAATATGGTTTTGACCACCCAGTGACCCATTTCGGAGGATCTAATGAAAAATGTAACCACAGCTGAATGAATGCTGGGTTGCTTTGATTCTTTTCCCTCGCCCCTTTACAAGAACCACCTAATTTCCTGTTTAATATATTCGATGCCACAATTAAGAAGAGATGAAGTTGAGGCAACGCCTCCTGTCCCCCCCTCTTTCCTCTCTCACCCCTTCCCCAGAAGAACCTGACCCATTCCCTTGGTGTGTTACTGCTGTATACCAGGAGTCACCTGCCTGTGCCAGAGCAACTTTTAAACTCCAAATCTGGCGTAGCAAAGGAGGAAAAAAATACAGCCTTATCTCAAATATCAAGAGCCAATTCCTTTCAACCACAGCATCCACAAAAGGCAAACTCTGGGCTCCGCTTGCATTCCTGCTGGCCAGCTCATTGTCTTCAGAGCTGCAGAGACCTAACGCTTGGCCGTGAGCTTCTAACCCCCTTAGGAAGAGGCATTTGGACATGGTCTGCTGGACACCGGTGGTGGTTCGGCGCAGCAGTGGAAAAAGGCTCCCCTCTCTATCCCCCGCCCTCCGCCTCGCCCTTAAAGACTTGAAAGATGAAAAAACTGCCACGCATTCAACAGGCAAAACTGGATTTCTTTTGGCAAAAACTTGAGCGTTCCGCAGGACTGTCACCCCTCCAGCACCGGCAGAGAAGACATCACACCTCTGCCTTCAGTCTGCCTGTACCAGGAAAAGCAACTGGGAGCAGAGGACCAGCACAGAACACAACTGCCCAACAAGACACGGAGAACACATTCCAGCTAGCTTTTTTTTTTTTTTAAAACAAAACTATAACGACATTATAAGACTGCTACAGCAGCGGCAGCAATACACTGAGCGCTCCGGAGTGCCTTGAGGGCACTAACGAAGAAAGCCTGTCATGCTAATGTCTTAGTTAGCCCACTACTTCAGGAGCAAGCCAGATCAAAGCTTCAGCCTCAGGAGTCACTGCAGGTCCAGCTTTCAGCTACAAAACCTTTGCAGCTCGAGGGGGAGGTTGTTAGGGTTC